GCGTGACACTGTGTGGAAGCTACCTGGTCTGTCGCTCCGCACGAAGCTTCAGCTCTTTTCCGCCACAGTCATTCCTCCCTTCTCTACGCTTGCAAAACGTCGACCCCCCTAATGGAGCATCTTCGCCGGTTGGAAACATTTAGGCTGGCCTGCCTACGATCCATCCTGGGTTTAACCAGGCTGGATTGTGTGAGGAGCTCACAAATCCTTGAAAGATCTGGGCAAAGTCCCATCGGTGAGCTCCTCCGGCAGGCAAGGCTGCGTTGGCTGGGTCATGTAGCCCGCATGCCCAGCCACCGCATGCCTAAACAGTTTTTGTTCGGCCGGATCGAGGGGGCTAAACGGGCGTGGCACGGGCTAGAGAAGAGATGGAGTGATGTGGTACAGGAGGACGTGGAGCTGAGTGGACTTGCCGATGACTGGTACCAGCGGTGTCAAGATCGGCCTCTGTGGAGGAGGCTCGTGAAGGACGCTACTGGGCAGTTGGAGGCAGTTGCCCTCCAACAATAACGGAGGGTGGAGGAGCGACGCTCACAACAATGAGCAGAGCGCCGGGTGGCTAAAGCACAGAAAGTTGGCACAGTAGGGGGCACAGGTGGTGCATCAGCCAGTCGTCTCAGTCAGTCGACCTGTGCCATCTGGGTCTACCCCGTGACCTCCTGCCAGCAGGCGTTCGACACTTTATGTGACCTCAAGTGCACACTTAGTGGCGAATGGCGGTTGTTATTGTTCATCAGTCTATGTATGTATGTGTGAGTCGATATGTGTGTGTAACTCTGTGTGTTTGAGTAGATTTGTGTAACTACATGTGTCTAAAGTCGATGTCTGTGTGTGTGGGTCCATGTGTGTGTGTGTGCGTGTAAGTCCATGTGTTTCTATGTGTGTAGGTCCATGTCTGTGTGTAAGTCCATTTGTGTGTCTGCCTTTTTCGCCCGGGCAACGCCCGGGTACTTACCGCTAGTTTATATATAAGAAGAAAAGAAGACTAGCGGTAAGTACCGGGCGTTGCTCGGGTGAAAAAGGCAGACACACACATGTACTTACACACAGACATTGACCCACACACGTAGAAACACATCAACTTAGACGCACACACACACATATATGCTTAAACCCAGGATGGATCGTTTGCAGGCCAGCCTAAATGTTTCTAACCGGCGTAGATGTTCCTTTAGGGGGGTGCACGTTTCGCAAGCGTAGAGAATGGAGGGAATGACTGTGGCCGAGAAGACCTTCATTGGAAGCAAGAGACCAGGTAGCTTCCACACAGCGTAACATAAGAAGAAGAAGATACACCTTCTAACAGTGCCAAGACCTACCCTCTCGTATCTACCACTGTTTCGCACACTAACTATACGTTTGGGGAGAAATCTTGCCTTTTTGCTTCTTGTAAGGCAATAGCATTTACAAAATAACACTTGCCACCCACAAACGACATATCTTTCACTTTCTTTTGTGTTTATTCCTACAACTCTCAACAACGTTCATCTCGACAAGCCACAACCGCACATGCACTGCAGCAGCACGGGCTGAAGAAATTCCTGAACAGCGCGTGCATCTCGACATGCCAGGGACCGCACAGTCACTGCAGCAGCATGCCTTGAAGAAACGCCTGACCATCGTGCATCTCGACAAGCCAGGGACCGCAGATTCCAAAAAACACAGGATGAGATGGTACTATCCTTTGTGCAAGCACTTCCAAAAGTTCATGAACAGTGAGCCTGGTGAAATTTGGGGAGCGCATCGTCAGTAGTGAACCTTTGGTTCCTAGGGTGTTTCGGCCTTTCATACTATACACCCTCCCCAAAGGCGGCCAGCGACAGGGTGATCAATCCTACGCTTGCGTCCCATTCCCAATTAGTCATAGGAGTTGCCTTGTTGGGACTATGCATGGCAGGGGCGTCCTCCTCCCTGAGTCAAGCATTGTTGACTGCATACCTCCTGGCCCTCTCACTTTGGGGCCCAGCTGGGGTCTTTCCTCTTCATCCAGAGCCACTGACTGCTGCCTTCTGCCACCTCCGATACAGCTCTGATTGCCGAACGCTGGCTCTGGCCCTTAATTCCCAGGTCTCTAAGCAGTCTGGTTGTAGATGTTGTCACAAAACCTCTGCAGCCCACCTCCACTGGTCGGACTTCTGTGTTCCAGCCATGATGCCGTGCTTCGGCAGCTAGATCGGCATAGCGCAGATGTTTTCGCTCATAAGCCTCATCTACTGAGTCCTCCCAGGGTACTGTGAGCTCAATGATGAAGACCTTCTTGAGCGAACGGGACCAGAGCACCATGTCAGGTGTTAGGGTGGTGGTTGCGATCTCTGGAGGAAACACAAGTTGCCGGCCAATGTCAGCTAGCATTTTCCAGTCGCGGGCCAAGCGCAGCTGGTTTCGCTTTAATGGTGTAGAGCCACTCTTCGGTGGTTTAGCCCCTTCGCGGACAAAGGTCGTCCGTAAGGGGTGTGATGCTGCTGGGGGTGGTAGGGAGTTGGTGGCAGCTCGCTTGTCCTCCAGGGCGGACGCAAGGTTTTTAAGGACTTGGTTGTGACGCCAAGTGTAGCGTCCTTGGGTGAGACTTGTTTTACACCCTGTGAGAATGTGCCTGAGGTTGGCTGGCATGGAACAGAGGGCACAGTCCGGATCTTCACCATACCATTGGTGAAGATTAACTGGTGTTGGAAGGACGTCATATGTTGCTCTGATGGAAAAGCTCAACCGCCTCGCTTCCATGGCCCACAGATCCTTCCAGCTGATCTTCCTCTTCTCCACACTGTCCCATCGAGTCCACTGTCCCTGTTTGGCAAGAGAGACTGCCTTGACCCACCTTGCAGCCTCCTCCTGATGGCGTACTTCCTGCATTACCATCTTCCGCCGCTCTGGTAAAGTGACCTTACTCCAAGCAGCACGGGTTGTAGAAAACCCTGAACATCATGCATCTCGACAGGCAAGGGACCGCACAGTCACTGCAACAGCATAGGCAGAGGAACTATAACATCATCAAATGGCACGCCAAAGACAAGTCCGTCATGCTGCTGCATCTAGAACAAGAGCAAATAACCCCAACTGGAACATAGCTGCTTTTATTTACCAACCAGATATCGATTATCAATCTATGGCCATAATAGGCTGCATGTCTATTACTTGCACAGATTGCAGCGCTAAAAAGTGGAAAGACAAATGCAAGGGAATGTGCTGCAGTCATGGAAAAGTAAAACTTCCTCTTGTGCAGATGCCCCCTGAGCCACTTAGATCATTGCTATCTGTCCATACTCCTGAGTCTAAACACTTTCTGACCAACAGAAAGTACAATTGCTGCTTTCAAATGACTTATTTTGGTGCGACAAAGGAGATAGTGTAGCCAGACTTTATGCCCACATTTAAGGTTCAGGGCCAAGTTTATCATCAAATCGGATCCATGCAGTCACTGACCGGTGAAGAGCCCAAGTTCATTGAGTTATTCTTCATGGGAGATGAGAGTCAGCAAGGCAACCAGCGATGCAACAATGTTTCTGGTGCCCGACTACAAATTGTCCTCTCTCTCGAAGGGATGCTCAAACAACACAATTTATTGATTTCAAGTTTCAAACATGCAGCACAACAAGTCACCTCCAATGATTATCAGGTTGTCATCAGTGCATCCAAAGTCCCAAGCGGGAGCATGCACTGAGGTACAATGCCCCTACTTGTGGTGAGGTTGCTGTTCTTATGGTGGGTGAGGAACATGGTAGGAGAGACATTGTGCTTCAATACCAAGACAACACCGTCAAACGCATTCCTGAGACAAAGAGAGCATATGATGCCCTACAATGTCTCGTATTTTGTGGAATGGGCAAGATGGGTACCACGTCCAGATTCCACAAATTATCAAAGCAACAGGACAAAGGCATCCTCACAAAACTGTCTTCTCTAAGGACTTCTATTCCTTCATGATCATGCACAGAGAAGGAGGAAACCACATAGTGAGGTGCGCCAACCTCTTTTACCAGTATGTTGTCGATGAGTATGCCAAAATTGAGAGTGAACGCCTTCTCGGCATTCAACTCAATCAAAAACGCCTGCGTGTAGAACAGTGCATTCATCTCAGGGATGCTATCAATGCTGACTGAGATGCAAATGCTCTGAATTTGGGTAGATTTGTTATTTTGCCTTCATTATTCACTGGTGGATCAAGATACATGCATGAGAGGACTCAGGATTCCATGACGTATATCACGCAATATGGCAGGCCAGGTCTCTTTATCACCTTTATTTGCAATCCTAAATAGACGGAGATCCAGGTTGAGCTTTATCAAAACCAAAAACCAACCGATAGACATGACATCATTGCAAGGGTGTTTAAACTCAAAGTTGATGCACTCATGAGGCTTTTCACGAGAAAGGAAGGCGGCGTCTTTGTGAAGACAATTTGTCACTTGCACACCATTGAGTGGCAAAAACGTGGTCTTCCTCATGCTCACATATTGCTAGGGATGTGGGATAAAATAATGCCAGTGATATTGACACTTTCATTAGTGCCGAGCTACCTAACCCGAATCACGACCCTGCCCTGTTTGATGTCGTCTGCAAGCAAATGGTCCATGGCCCATGTGGGGATTTCAATCCAAATTCCCCATGCATGCAAGACCCCAAGTGTACCAATAAGTATCCCAGAAACTTCTTAAAATTTACTCAGGCAGGACACGATCGCTATCCTCTATATTGTTGCAGAAATTCTGACGATGGTGGATTTGAAACTACGCTCTGACCTGGTACTAACTTTGAAATGAAGGTTGTCTGTCTTTTTCGCCCGGGCAATGCCGGGTACTTCCCGCTAGTGTATATATATATGTCACCCAGTGATTGTGCCTGAAGTGTGAGAAATAAATAAGAATCCCTCTACACGTTATGTCTCAGAAGTCGCTCACTACACATCAATGTTACTGTTCTAAAAATCAGTTACCTATCTCTGCAACACAACATACGAGTGAAGAGGCACTCATTTGTGGATGTATCTGTACCACATGTTTAAGGCCATCGGTATTGGAAGGCGGAGGAAACAAGTCATGTGCTTCGGATGTCTGCTATCTCAGTGGAGGCCACCGCGTATGGGCTACTGACGTATCTGCGCAAGAAGGACTATGAGAGCGCTCGAGAAATTGTTGACTGGCTTACCGAGCAGCGAAACTACGGGGGCGGCTTCCAATCCACACAGGTGTGTACAAATTCATAATAAATAAACTGGCACTTCCAGCGATTGTTGTTGTCCTTCCCCCGCACCTCCCATTAGCATGGTTGGCTATGTATGGTGCGAAATAAGTTAAACTTACATGCATTAATAAGTTAAATAAACCCAATTAAAAGACTCGCCACATTTGTCATGAACGTTGCATTATACAATTAACATATATACAGTAATGCCCCGATTTACGCCCTCCCACTTTATATAATTTCACTATAATGTACTCAACTGATTAATACCCAATCCCAATTAATGTAACGTGTACCTTGCCATAACGTACTCGAGATTTACGAACTAAACCATTAAGTCACACATTTTTATCCCTGTAATCAGTTGGCATTTTGGGTATTGGTCCACAGCAGAGAGAGTAGGAAGATTTTCCGACCAACATAATTTCGTAATTTTTATGGGTTGGAAAACCTAATGATCGAGCAAAATTTGTGTTGTAAGACCCTCCACCATTTGACATAGCCAACCATTGGATTGATGCACGTACAAGCGTTTAACGTGCCAATTAGTATGGCTTCAGCTCACAAGCATCTTCAGGCTAGAATTCAGCATCCTGCATTCTGCCCTTGACCTCGCATATCCAATTTCTACATTTGATTTAGAAAATTGCTCTTCAACAGTTTACAACATGATAATTGGTGCATTAAATGCTTCAGTTATTTGACTGTGTGTGGTGGTGAAAGCTTTTGAAACCAAAATCTGATCACATGGCCTAACCTACATCCACTATCAATTATACTGTTGATGATGTGAATGTTGCTGATGTTGGAACTGATGATTGCAAATGGAATGTCCCACAATTTTGCACTCTAATGATGAAATCATGCTGAGAATGCTGCTAAGGGTATGATGATCGTTACTGTAACCACGATTGTCGGCATTATCATCAGTGACTGCGAAAAGCGCACATCAATATCATCATCAAAAAGAGCAGCTGCTACCAGCTCTGAACACAATTACAGATGTAGGGAACTACACAGGGCACCTTGAGACATTAGTGGAAGGCACCTTACAAATAAATGCTAATTATTAATTTATATAATAAAACACGTTAACACAGGTGGCCGGATGTCTAACATCCAGAGAGGAAGGAACTGTAGCAGGAGACTAAGGTGGTAGTTAATTGAGGGCGGGGAGAGAGATGTAAAAAGGGAGCGTCACTGACGGTCGGGGCGCTTGCTTGGGAACTAATCAATGACAAGAAGTGGATGACATCAGGCCGACTGTTCGAGATCAACGAGATTATTTGTAAGGTGGTTGTTACACTCGGAACTGTAAATACGTTCAGTTATAAATAAAGCTCTATTTCTACAAAAATTAACGTCTCCAAGGAACGTCTTTATACAGATGTTAATTCACCTACGATGTGTTCCCATACAGTAATAGTGGTGGTAGTCATCATCACCTATATTCTATGCAACGCCAAGCATATAACAATGGTTAAAAGAGTACGTTAGTAGAGGTGCACAAGCACAATAAAATAACGAATTTGTAATGCACATTCCTCAGCAGGAATGTGCATTATTGGGGTGGTGACATAGCCCAGTGGTAACGCGTTCACCGTTTGTAGCAGAGGTTTGTGTTTCAATTCTAGCAAGCCACCGTTGATTATTAACCACGACTACATGACATCTGCTTTACAGTGGATGTTAAAGATCCCCCAACATTAATTGAAATACCAGATCATTATATTCTCTTATCACGGTCCAATTGGGAAAATTACCTGCAAATTTCTCAAATTGGATTACTCTTAGTGACATTTCACCTTGTGCCAAATAGGGGCCAGCTGCCACTGGGGGTGACCAATAAAATATTTTGAGATAAGATGTGATGACAGTCGCTTATTGTGTGGCAAGTCCTCTGAGATGCCCGGGCTTAAGGGAGTGGGCTCTATCAAAAATGTTTTTGTAATAATCGTTACCTATTAACAGAGGTGGGACAAAGTCATTGTTATGCAAGTCCAAGTCGAGTCTGAAGTCATCAAATTCATGACTCGAGTCTGACTCGAGTCCAAGTCACATGACTCGAGTCACACCTCAGAGGTGGGACAAAGTCATTGTTATGCAAGTCCAAGTCGAGTCTGAAGTCATCAAATTCATGACTCGAGTCTGACTCGAGTCCAAGTCACATGACTCGAGTCCACACCTCTGCCTATTAATGAACTCGAACTATTGCACAATCTTGATTATTATTGAGTAATGTGGTGTGCTGTGAATGCAGGACACTATTTTGGCCTTGCAAGCAATGGCTCAATACAAGATGGATTCTTCCAGTAAAGAACTGATTGATGTGCAGCTGGAAATAACATCTCCAAAAAACAATTTTGAGAAGAAAATGAAAATTACTGAAGAAACTCGGTTTGTGCAAGAACCTCATAAGGTAGGCGCAAGAGTTAATGTTTTTCATTGAAAATTTGGAAGTAGGATGATGCAGTGGTATCACTCTTGCCATACAGCTAAAAGTGCCTAGATTATATTCCGACTTGGGTGACTTGAATGTGCAGGTTGTATGTTCTCCCCCCTGTTCTGTATTAGTTCTTGCAGATTCTCCGATTTCCTCCCAAAACTAAAACGAAGCACAAAACCTTACAATGTTTGGGGCATTGGCCAAACATCCCAATACTGAGAAATGACCTGAAAATGACTCAACTGGGATTAGACACAGCAACATCACCTCTACTGTGAAACTACTGCAGACTGGCAAACAAAATCATTATGTGATATCCTTACACTATAACAATGACGCTTACAACAAATGTACTAAATTATCATGAAAGGCATTGCCATTTAAATCTATTATATTCATACAAATTGGCCAATATTTAGAAATTAGCCTTCCTGCACCCTTTACACACAGGTGGGGCTGATGACTGATTAAATAACCTAGAAATGGAACCGTTTGCGTTGTGTACAGATTCCACCTGGAGGAAACATCACTATAAAGGCTTCGGGGAGAGGCACGTTTACCCTTTCGGTAAGACTTGCTCATAACCTCTAATAAATGTGTTACATTTGTATACGCATGCATATACACTTTGACTGACTGCAGCAAGCCCATAATAATTTAACATGTAGGCTATCGCGACCAATATGATTCATAATTTATTTTTGGGTTACATCGCGGAAGTAAAATGTGTGTTGTAAACCATCCTCCAACCGACAAAGCCAGTTAATACAATTTTTCACTTGAACAAATAGGAAAGATAGTGCATACTGATGCTTATCTCAATGCACACTTGCACCATCACCCAGAACAAAAATCCTCTCATGAAAATGCTCATACATCAGGTACAATTTTTGTCAGATACTAAAAGTCTGAATGGATACAATACACCAAAACCTTGCCATCGTGGGTTTTCCATTGCGAATTTGACTATTTGCACAATATTTATTGAGGTAGACTTCATTCATCAGGCCCCTCTGGCTCGACCACTCGCGGGTTTGGCTGCGAGATTCCTATACAGTACGTATCGTAAAGAAGTACTCTACAGGTACTCGAACTGCACTCTGCTCACAATGATACTTCTGTGGAAGATTAAAATGCTGTCATCATTCATAGTTATTCTTTGGTTCTTTCGGTAAAGTCACGTATAAAGAAAAAATAATAATAAATTAAATAATAACATACGACGTTTCGATTGCAACACAAGCAATCATCATCAGGTATAATGAAATAGCGACATAAAATCTAACCAGAAAAAATTATAGACAGACATATAAGCAGACAGATATCACCAAGATTTTATGTCGCTATTTCATTATACCTGATGATGATTGCTTGTGTTGCAATCGAAACGTCGTATGTTATTATTTAATTTATTATTTTTTCTTTATACGTGACTTTACCGAAAGAACCAAAGAATAATTCCTGCAGTCACGAAAGCTCCAAAGTTAAGATTGAACCACTTCTACGGGGAAGTTCCAAGTTTACCTTTTTTCTCTCTCTCTGGGTTTTTATTCTCTCTCTCTGCCTGTTTATTTAGTGTAATTTTTTCTGTCTACACTCGTTTTTTGTCGTTCTTAGGTTCTGCTTTGTCTCCGTTCCTCTTGTTTTTATGTTTTGTCTTTCTTTGAAATTTTCACACTTAAATTCTAACTTAGCAATGTTTGAAATACGTAATCGACCAGGCTATGCGTTAATTGTGTGTTGACCGACTTTCTGTGTCGTTTTACATAACATTTCGATACTTTGCTAGGTTATTTAATTTTAGTGTGTCTCTTTCTCCCCCTAAGCCTGCTCACTCCTTTTTGTTGCACTCGTTGACATGTAAATTTTGTCTCTAACCCCTCCCTCTCGCTGCCTCCGCCCCCCTCTGTCTATTTAAGGCCACCCCACAGAGACGATCACCCCTCCCTGTACCTGTGTTGCCCGCTGTGTGTATCTTGGTGATATCTGTCTGCTTATATGTCTGTCTATAATTTTTTCTGGTTAGATTTTATGTCGCTATTTCATTATACCTGATGATGATTGCTTGTGTTGCAATCGAAACGTCGTATGTTATTATTTAATTTATTATTTTTTTTTCTTTATACGTGACTTTACCGAAAGAACCAAAGAATAATTCCTGCAGTCACGAAAGCTCCAAAGTTAAGATCATTCATAGTTAGTTAAAGTTTTTAGTATCTTTTTAATGCATGTCTACATGTCATCAATCGTAATCATTATAAAGCCAGGCAAAGCTCCAGGCGTCAATGGAGTCCTCCAAAACTTGCTTAAATATCTTGGGCCAAAGGGCCACAACTGGATATCATCCATCCTTACTTAAATGGCCACCGGCAAACTACCAAAAATCTCCTGACAATTGAAAGTGCGAAGCAGACACGGACGAGGCTGGAGCGTGTTTGGAAGAAAACCGGTTTTGAGACTGCCTGCAGATCTGCCAACCGACTCATTATTGAGTCTCGCAAATCATTCTATGCTCTGTGTCAATGAATCTGCTTGCGACCCCCATGCTCTGTTGCACGTCGTGAAGGGTTTGCTGTACTCCAACCACCGATCAATTAGTCAACCCGGTCTATGCACAGTACTTTCGACAATAGTGCTGACCAAATTGGCAGTTTTCAACTTGAAGGCAACGCATTTTCCCGATCTTCCATCTGAGTTTGATCATCCTGGAACCAATTCAAAACTCGAGACCCTGGCGCCAACGTCGTTGGCAAATGTGACAATGTTCATCGCATTGCTGCCAAATAAGATGTCACCGATTCAAAATGGTGCAAAAACACCACTCCTGAGGGCAGCTTGAGCCATAGCAAACCCTGCAAACCCTTGCATAGGTCATAAAGCACCTTTGTCTGAAGCAGTTACTTCCCCACGTCATTGCGATGGGCAGATTAAATCTGTTGAAGTTGGCGTACCGGAAGTTCCACAGCACTGAAACGGCTCTACAAAAGATCACTCATGAGCTCTTCAAGATCATGGATTACTGGTGGCGCAGCAGTGTTGGTTGGCCTCGTCATCACTATGCGATGACGTCACGATCGCGCAGACGTTACGACCCGTGTTTTACACAGCCATTCCGTTTATCATGGAAGTGGAGGTGTAGCAATTCCTCCTATTCCTCGATATTCTGTTTGGACACGGCCCACATGGAAAAATAACACGGCTTTTATCGATAGAAAATGCACACTTACGCCTAGCTGAATGCATAATCACACCATTCCATACAGAAATCTTCTCTCAGAAAGATGCTTCATACATCAGGCAAAAAGTGTTCGATGATGAACGTCTGAGGAGGACGATTAAACATGTCAAAGAAGCACTATTATATGATTACAAATCTCACCAATTAACAGAGCATTGAGTGCCGAAAACAAATAAAATAGTACAAATGATGACAATGCTATTAAAACAAATAACCATATATTCCGGGAGTAACTGATAAACTAGATAGAATTTTGTAAAAACAAAAAAATCCGAGTGAGATTTGGCACAGTACACAATAATCCAAAAAAACGTTATCTGGTACTGAAGATAAACTGCCGAAGCTATCAACAAAAGGTGTTTATCAGATTACTTGCTCCTGTGATAAATGCTATGTTGGTCAGACAGGACGAGAGATTGGCACAAGAAAACCAAATAAACATTAAATACTCACAAACACAATTGTTAGCAGTTCTAGAACACATGTCTGCCAACCTAGCCATTCAATTTATTTAGAAAACATTTATAGTTCATGAAAAACTAGCTTAAATTGTATTGACCAAGACTATGAAATTTCAATTGAGAGGAATACAGAGAATTTCAACAATTTTCATAGAAAAAGACTGAATGCTGCTTGGAAGTGTATAATTAAGTACAATCGCAACACTCGTTAATGTACTCCGACTGAAATTGACACAGCTATATTATAACACCACGAACCATTTAGTATGTTTCTACATGACACACCATTTGCCATGCACACAGCACTCTGCACCTAGCTAACACCATGTTCCCTGCACTTAACACAATCACCATGAATGCAATACTGTCGACCACTCGAATAACCTATCACCTGAGTATATTTGGTTAACTGTGACTAATGTCATGTCTAACGTGTATAATGTCATAAGAACATGATCTACTAAAATTGATATGAATACTTTAACCCCCCTGGGTCCTCCTCACTTGTAGGTGCACAGTGAGTACATCACCTTCCCCTATTAAAGACTGAAAACAGGAAGGCAGCTTCACATTTATAGCAATCACCTGATCATGCTGGTTGTAATCACCAGTGAAACGTCGTACTTAATTATGCATGTTATGGGATTACTCTAACACACAACCGATGCTGCTGAAATATAAAACAATTGGCATGTTCTGTTCATGTGACAAACATCACTAATTGGCTATCGGCTGGATGTGGGTGCACAGGATATGTGATTTTTTGCTAACCCAAAAAACATGAATAATATTGGTCTCAAAAGCTTACGTTAAGCTTTCTTACTCCTCATCCCTTCAGCTATGTGTTTTCTTTATGCTAACTATTATTTTACTCCTAATGTGTGTTTCTAGTAGTGTTGCATGCTTGCATGAACACCAAGTGGATTGCATGCGTGTTGGGAGAGGTGTTGTGATCAATGCTTGGGTAATGTGGGATCTGCATTTCCAAGGTGCGACACTCTTTACTGGGGTTTTATTTTTCATTGCTGGTAACTGCGTGAAAAAAGCAGTGACTGGTTTCTCACGCGTAGAAATGTCTCCATAAGCAAACGCAACATCGTATTTACATTGCTAACTGAGAAATGTAGGGAGCTGGCAAAGTGGTGTAATAATTAGCACACTGGATGTGTAATCTAGAGGTCGCTGATTCAAGTCAATATTCCGGCACTGCCGTTGAAACGATGGTGCAAGTTCATTTGGTGCATTCGTTGTTAAATTCAACTGGTTACCAGTTGCTGACTTTTGAAATGGGCAAATGGTTCTGAAATCACTACTACCGGTTTCCCAATTACCATTAAACAACCCTAGTTTTAATGTGTGTCTGTGTGTGTTTGTTATTCCATAGATTATGAGTGTATTCAACAAGGTGGCTCCCTCAAGCAAATCCTGCTCCACATTTGATTTGAAAGTCACGATGACCGAAGCGGATGACGGAGGTGAATTTTCTCCTTGATTTAGATGGGTAATCTGGGATCTTTCGATTTAAAGCTTTCGTGACTGCAGGGATTCATCTTCTTGGTTCTTTCGGTAAAGTCAGGTAGAAGGGAAATAATAAAATGATAACAATAAAACATGATCAAATACAATTTTCACGAAGTTTCGGCCACAGGGCTGTTCTTCACCTGAGGATGGCTGCTGGCGTTGTGGCCGAAACGTCGTGAGAATTGTATTTGATCATGTTTTATTTCTATTATTGTATTATTTCCCTTCTACGTGACTTTACCGAAAGAACCATCATGACCTGCTGCTGAAGTTGGCCAACATCATCAAATGCCGTTCTACTGTACATCTAATCAACGTGATGCTTAGCAACCATACTTTCACTGTATACCTTGCTGTGGAACACAGGCGCAAGAGGATTATGAATAATGACATCCCTAAAGGCTCAGTACTGGTGTAGTAGGTTCAATGGGACTTGGACGACGTAGTCGGAGGCACACTTATTTATTAACCGTTTCACTCAATACAGGCCAAGGTATACAACACTCGAAGGGGTATCGGCCCCTTCACCCGTCTAACAGGGAGACCCCACTATCTCTATCCCGGCTAGCCTACTCCCAGGTCCTCCACTCGAGAGCTAGGAGAGGCTAGCTGACCCAGCTCTAGCCAAGCTAGGATCACAGCACCCTTAGTCACCAGACCGGCTCTTACAAGAGCATCGGCTCTGGGCTCTCGGGGCCACGCCACTGGCTTGCCCTGGTCGGTCCTTAGAAGGACAGCGATCCAGGGGAGTCCCAGGGCCTATCTAGCCGGTCTTCCTTCTTCACTGGCTTAAGCTATACACTGAACCCCGAGCCCACCGGCTCACCGCCTTATATAGCAACTCCCCCCCCCCCCCCGAGGGGTGGGGCCGTGGGGGATCACAGCGCCGTTTCAGCCCCCTCGGCCAGGGGTCGGGAACCTTTTTGACTGGGAGAGCCATAAAAGCCAAATATTTCTAAATATATTTCATTGAGAGCCATATAGTATTTTTAACGTATAATAAATTAAAGATGTTTTACTTTTAATGTGACTTCTGGTGCTGCATGGTTTTGCTGATGTTCATACGTGGTGAGGTTGAGCTTCATGCAGGCGTGACCCATGAAATTTATCTTCAAAACTAATTTCTGTTTACTTTAAAATGACACAGTATTATTAAGTAATATCGCAAGTATTTTAAAATCAGTTCCAAACTGATTTTTTTTTCAACTCTAAATTGTCTGGGAGCCATATGCCGTCACTGGAAGAGCCATGTTTGGCTCGCGAGCCATAGGTTCCCGACCGCTGCCCTAGGCTAAACGATGCGGACGTGGATGTAAGCATCCTTCCGCATGCGGGCATAACCACCCCTGGTGTGTTTCTTCGCCCTCCCGTAACACCTCTACACTGGCACTGTCACTATGTACCATGTACAAGAAGTCCTCGTTTAATATCGCGAATGCATTCTTGAAAATTTCGATGTTAAACAAAACTACTTTATACGAAACCATATTCCCATAGGAATGTATTACAGTATTATGTGTAAATATACAATGTCTTTTTATTTATGAGTTTGACAATGCTTCTCTTTTTTGTTGAACCATAACACATTTTACATACAGTACGTACAGTACTCCCCATAGTCCATTCTTGATGATGTTATAGTGAAGCGTAAAAGGACATTAAGTGAGTTTGTTCAATAAAATACTGAAGCCGTTATAACGAAACTACCCTTTGTGTGAAGCAACGTTAAGTGAGGACTTACTGAAGATAAGTGACCTGCCAGGTACATCATGTTGCAAATTCATATATGCATATAACATAACCTTTGCTGCACAGGACACACATCTTTCGAATATTACCAAAAAACGAATGGCTGCTCTAACTTAATTAAATGTATATTTCCATCACTGGATACTCGGACCAGACCTTTTCAAAGCCACCATAAGTGCTTTCCACCTGAATAGTCATGATGTGTCCTTCTGTGGTAGTCCGGTTTGCTATCACCCCACTCCAAGATATCTTGAGGTTATAATTCACAGTAGCCTGACCTTCAAGCCCCACATAAAACATAAACTTGCGAACTGCCTCCATATCACTAATCCACTTAGTGGCAGAGTTTTGTGCTCCAGCCAATCCTAAAGCTCATACATAAAACTACTGGATGCACAATTACATAACGCAATGCGAATAATAACTGGAACAAATTCCCTCTTTGTTCTGACGAATCTTCTGCCATCAAACATGCACATAGACATGAAAACTAAAGGAGTTTACACATTTTCTTGCCAACGACAACCTACGTAATCGACCTAGACCTCAACATTGTACAGCAATCCCTCGCCAACCGCGGTGGTTAGGTTCCTGGAAAATGCTACGTTAGGCAAATCCGCGGTTGGTAAAGTACTGGGCCTATGAGAAATACGGGGTTAGGGGAACCGCAGCTGCGGTCAGACTCGTCATAGATTAACTAATTTAGTTGCCTGTTTATTCACTAAACACCGAATAAAATACAGTAAATTACACAATAACATCATAAAACATAAATAAACATTACATTAACTCTACATACCTTTAATAATTACGATGATGACAATGAGATGATAGGGGAAAGGCTGGTTAGAATGAGGAGGGGCTGAGCCCACCCTCTTCCTGCAGGCCACAGACAAAAGACTTTCACCTTCACCACTCATGCACACTCCGGGGACCATGATAAAGGGCAATATTAACCCTTTCCCGGAATCGGAAGAAAAAAGAAAATCACTTAAATTAGTATATAAATAATAAACTATGTATACATGAAACCGCGGTTGGCAAGTCTGTGGTTGGCGAGTGATTCCTCTACTTTGCCACCAACTCAAGTCCGAATCCCCCTTTTGGGATCGTGCTGTCACATCCTAGAATCTCATCTGGATCTGGAATAACGCTGGAGAACATAGTGGAACAACGTAGCCATCCAGAATAAATGCGTAATTTGAGACCCAAACATCACACCTCCTGGCTTTCCCATTCCTATAAGCTACTGGTATAACCATAAACTGCATGAGAATATCAACACCAGGCCAATGCTCACATGTTCATATATTTAACATTTAAGAAAAGCCACAGTAGTGCAAATGAGGCCATGCAAACTTCAGTGTACATAACTCAGCTGTGTTCCAGGGTGAGGGTTTAACTGTTGAGATCCAGCAGAATTTAAAGGGAGCCATGGTTTCTTGTATACGATATAATTAGCGTAATAGACTGCAACTGTTAACTTCAAGGAAGTATGATTTAAATCGGAAAGTGGAGACATGATTGCTGAAAAAAGCATGTCTGAAGTGATTGATTTGGGACTAATATAATCTTGCTTTAAATTTGGAGTAAGTGAAGGAAACAAAAGGTCAAATTACACCATGAATGATCGGACACACTAGGGTCAACAATGGAACGGTTGGCTAAAGATAGTTCTCGAATGCACACCAAGTCCAAAATATAATTGTGAATATGGGTGGCGGACTTAACATACTGAGTTAAATTGAAACAGTCTAAAGTAGCCAGGAAATCCCTAGCCAAATAACATCTTGGTGAGCCTACGTGTGGTGGTGAAGCTTCACAGAAGTTGTTTTGAGAGACCTGGCCACAACTGACTGGCATCAACATTGCCTCATAATGTTAGCATTTAAAATTCTGGCTGACCACTTTGGTTAATACTTTATGTGAATCAACCAAAACATACGTGCTGTCTTCTTCACAATTGGCATTAAATATCCTGTGATATTGTTCTAAAAGAGAAGGCCATTGTGTGCCAGTTTCATGTTCCACATTTGCCAAATTCGAACCATTGCGGTACATATAACTCAATTGGGAGGACACATGGCAAAATCTCCCTCTACTGTAAAACTACTGCAAACTGCGCCTTCGTGATATGTATATATGTTGAACATATTTCGTACTGTAGCCAACCTTGCTAATTAGTGGTGCAGGGGAAGGACAACAAACTATACACAAATACCAAATGTACTCAATTATTACGTGAATGCCCAATGTTTGTTGTGCACAGAGAGCCCACAAGGACGCTTGGGTTGGTTTGATGGAAAGAGGCGGCGGAGGAGAGATATTGGTGACGAAGGAGGCGTTGAAGCAGTGTACCGAATGAACATGTGTACCAGGTGTGTCTCAGCAGTAGCACTCTGTGTATCCTGTGCTCATTTCTTGAATAAATAATTCATAATGAACCCATTCTATCATTTTGTGTACCTTCAGCTGCCCACCAACATCACATACAAATTACAGATATAACGCCATGCATAAAATTTCAAGGCGCGTTAAATCTCAAGAACCCATTACGTCATTGAAAACGAGTAGGCCATTGTGTGCCAGTACATCATGGTAAAAATTGCGAAATTACTTGCAGATTACTCAATTTGTTTTGCACACAGCAATCATCATCAAACTTCTAACAGACTAATTCCCGCTTGCAGGTCAGATGCTGAGTCACCTTGTCTGACACAGGGATAGCTGCCACTGGGTGTGCCTGTTGCCCATTCCCTTCCTCACCTCTCCACTCCTTCCCATCCCTCCCCTACCATTTCGTGACCTCTATGTGCCCTTTGTTGTAGTCACTCATTCCTCTGTTACCGCTTTTAAACTATGTAAAGCTTCTTGAGCTAAGGTGCTCTATAAATATAACATAAGATAGACTATGCATAATTTATTAATTAGTGATAGGTTTAGTCATTTTGAAGATAATTTTGCAGTTGCTTTATGTGTTTGTTTTGTGATGCAGATATAAGCCACGAAAAGAGGACCTTTCAAGTGAATCTGGAATGACAATTATAGAAGTGAACATGTTAACTGGATTTATTCCAGATAAAAATGACCTCATCCAGGTAAGACAAACACATACCATACTGAGAAAGCTGTTATTGTGAATTAGAGTGGACATACAATGGCATTTGTAATGTTAATAAGGCATGATTATCAGACATGCAGAAATATAGGATACCTAATATCATGTTTGGATGCAGCATCCTTTAGCATGGACAGATACAAACCTTTGGAGGCCTAGTTAAATATTGTCTGAACTATATATGGCCAACATTTCAGTTCTCTATCCTTTTAAAAGCATAATTATAATTGGCATAATGTTTGGGTCAGCAGGGTGGTGTAGCGGTAACACTTGTGCCTCATAGCAATGAAGGCCCTGGGTTTGATTCCCTACTTGGGTGGCTTCTACGTGCAGTTTTTATGTTCTACCGATGTGCTGTAAAGTGTGAATGTGCATAAAATGTATGTAAAGCTGTGCGAGAAAATTTATGTAAAGCTGTGCGAGAATGGTGTGAGTTTGTGGAGTTTGTATGTTCTCCCCCTATTCTGCATAAGTTTCCTCAGAGTTCTCTGGTTTGCCCCCATAGCTAAAACTGCTATTGGACAAATATCCCAATGCTGATAAATTACCTGAAAATTATGTGATTGGAATGATATGTTACATCAATGGCCCCTACTGTAAACATTTGGCAGACCCCTCCTGAAAAAAGTATTGACATTCTTGAAGTTTTCTGGGTAAAGCAGCGCAAATTAAGATAATTAACATCGCTTTGTATATATTTCCTATATATACTCCCTTTCCACAGCCATTCTTGTAGTCGACTCCCTGTCCAGCTGTCTTTTTTTCCTGTGCATACGACTGTCTGTTTATAAAGAAAATATGTCCGTGATTCTGTAGAGCCCGTGGCTGCATATAGACACGATAAAAGTATAAACAAAAGCAAAATAATATGGACCAGGTTCGTCCTTCTGGAGATAATCAGCAGTCAGGCATGCTAACCAACTGTAGTGTCTTGTTAAATGACTCACACCGACACGTTGTGACAAGTCACTCAGCGACTCCGCACACAGCAGCTCCACACTCAGCGACTCTGCATCTCCATGGCTGCCCTCACCGATGTTCCTTCATACCCACTCACCCGTCTGTCCCGGGTGGGGGGTTCAGCCAACACCCGCCCGGCGACGGTATGAGGGTTGAGGTCCTGTTGACAGCTTGAGTGGCAGCGGCGAGATTTCTTCACTCTTGGTTCCCAAGCAACTTCCTCTCTGCTTACGCACACTCCCCTTACGCACACTCCCCTTATATATCCCTCCTCATTCCGAGTCCTCACGTGCTCCCCCTCAAGCCGCCGCCAACCCAGCGCCTGTTGCCCCATTAATTCCTTATCATCACCCCCTATCTCCCGTCTCTCCAACGCCAACCTCTGGCCACAGCGTACCCACCTGTTCGACCTCGGTTGCACCCGCTTCTCCCCTTAATTACTGGCAGTTTGTCAGTGCAAAGCTCATGTTGCAGCGCACACATCTGTTCGACCTCAGTTGCACCCGCTTAACAGCACGCGCACTGCATATATCTCTCCTCTAAACAGGTACTGCTCGTTTACCAGATGTCTTAGCATAGCACGTGCCCTGTCTCGACATGGACCATCACTGCGCAAATAATGGCTCTCAGACTAAAATATAACATGGTTTTTGCCTCAATTATCATGATGCATAATAATTTTTGGGTGAGGCCATGTAAATATTTGCCTAAAATGTGTGTTGTTAAAACCCTCTACCACCCAAGACAGTCAAACAAATGAAACTGCTATTTTACAAGCGTTTAACTTTCCAATTGCGATTGCTTCAGCTCATTAGTAAGTTGAAAACCATTTCTCATAGCCAGATTTAGAGTTATCGTAGGTACAATTTTAGCTGTGATAATTGCTCTTCAACTTACTGATGAGCTGAAAAAAGAATAATTGATTCGTTAAACACTTGTACACATGATGATGTAGTTGCTTGGCTATGTTGGGTGGTGGAGGATTTCATGACATACATTTGGGAAGTTAATTCCGTTAATTCAGACTAAAAGATATGTCATTTTTATGTGGAGATACAGAATGGAAATTGGTTAATTTTATTATGATGCTTATTTACTCAGAAACACCTCATTAAGCCTCAAGACTCTGGAAGGGGGTCTTGCCAAGGTTTTGAGATCGGGGGTAATGTTATCGTGCATAATCCAAATTGAGTAACTTGCAGGTAATTTTTTTACCATTAGAATGTTTGGTCAATGCTCGGTACATATCTATACTCTTTGGTTCTTTCGGTAAATTCACGTAGGTATAAAATGAAAAAAAAAACATCACAACGTTTCAGGTGCAACATAAGCGTCCGTCATCAGGTGGGAATGCATTGTCTGCTGCTGAGGCAGACTGTTTTGAAAGGTTTGAAATGGGTGTAGCCCAAGGGTCATAAAGAAGTGGCCGGGGCTAGTGATATTAATGTGAGAAATTAGCATTTAACTGTAAGATAGCAGGAGAGCGACCTCCTGGACGAGGGCAGGGAAGTGGCTATGTTAATGTGAGAGATTAGCATGATGTTAATGTGAGAAATTAGCATATAACTGTAGAAGAGGAGGAGAGCGGCCTCTTCGACGAGGGTACGGAAGTGGCTATGTTGATGTGAGAGATTAGCATAAAATAACAGCTGACATAGGCAGGTAGGATGTAAACATCACAGTCAGTTAAGACTTTACCTGGTTAATAAGGTCCTTCCATTGATTGCTCAATTTGTACCCATCCTCTCGGTTGAAGTTGTGTCTATGTTTATATATCTAGATGGCTTCATGAACAAATCTCTGAAGGTAGCCGGTAGGTTTGCAGAGTACCTCCGTCTTGGAAAAATCTATTTCGTGTGAGCCCACAGCATTAAAACAATGTTTGGCAATGGCAGAGGTATTGGGCCTACCGTGTTTCAGATCTGCCCTGTGTTCACGAACGCGGTCCGAGACATTTCGTTTCCCCAATGTAACTGCTGCCACAACCACAACTCAGTATGTAGACACCAGGGTATTGCATGTGTAATAAAACAGGTCGACAACAAGCGACTGTGTCTCCATCTTTTTATTTCTTCGTTATCTGGACAGCTCACGTTCCGCTCTCCCGGTCATTCCGCGGCACGTCGCGGGAGCTGACGTCTAGCTCTCGTGCCGCTCTCTCGTTTTTCTGCTCCCATGCACCGCTGGCAGATGGCGCGCTGGGAGCCGTCTCCGCGTCGCCACGTGGCCGATGGCTCGCGGAGACTCCCGACGTGGTCCAGTTTCCAGCTTCCACCAATTTACCCCGAGCCCCTCCCGGGTCCCCCTTATATCCTCTTCCCACGTCACCCCAACTCCCCAGCATATGCTTGCATTACATCACCCCCCCCCCCCCCGGTGTAAAAGACTAGCCATCCTGGCTGATTCAGGACAAGACCATAATGCGAAAGACATACTGTAGTAACGCAGTAACGGACAATTGGAATAAGAGTAATGCATAACAACAAGGAGCAGTAACAATCAACGGAAGGGAAGAGACTTTGATCTGATACGCGACGCCGGACCATCCCTTGCATGAACAGGGGGCTTCCCTGACTGCAATCCAGGCGTGGTTGGAAGAGCAGCGGGATCGACATCCCTCGCCGCTGGTGAAGGCCCGGCCGGTGCAGGATGACCTGCGTCCGGTTGGCTCAGGCCCGCCGAGTCTTTGGGAGGCAAAACAGGCCCCTTCGGGGGTTGTACACGGTCATGGGGTGCAGCACGCCACACACATCAGACACCAGCAAGGCAACTTTTGGGGATGACGGACCGATGCGAGGGGCAAAGAAGGCCTTCAACCGAGAAGTGTGGACATACCAACGGCGCGACCCCGCCCGGATGCGTGCACACTGGGGACTAGGAACCTCAATCAATTCCACAGGACCTTGCCAAAGTCTGTGCAGCTTAGGAGAGGTCCCCACTGGCACCTGTGGGCAATGGAGCCAGGCCCAGTCCCCCACAGCCCATGGCAAAGCGCATTGGAAGCGCTGAGCACACCGCTCGTTACGGGCCTGGGTTTTAGATGTGGCTATCCGTGCCACATACCACGCCTCCGTGACACGTCGAACCGTGTCGCAAATGTATTCGGGGAGAGTCTGCGCGGGCTCCTTAGCGCACGCACCCAGCTGTACATCAACAGGCGGCACGTTCTCACGCCCATACATGAGAAAAAAAGGTGAGTACCCAGTGGATGCGTGCTGTGCCATCCGGTAGGCGGAGAGCATCCCAGGGATTTGCAGATCCCAATCGGACTGCTTTGAGCTAACCGTATGGCAGAGCATAGCCGACAGGGTACGGTTCAACTGCTCCACCATCCCATCCATTTGCGGGTGGTAGGGCGAAGTACATATTTTCCTGGTGCCCAATGCGTCACACAAATTACGCAACAACTTAGAGGAGAAGTTGCGGCCTTGGTCCGTAAGCAGCCGTTCGGGCGCCACCTTGTCCATCACGTACCCGTATAAAAATGCCTCCGTGATGGACGACGCCGACTGATCGGGCAAGGGCCAAGCCATCGGCCACCGCGAGAAATATTCCACACCTACCAACAGAAATTTGTTACCCCGGGCGGATGGGGGAAAGGGCCCAAGGATGTCTAGAGCCACCAGCTCGTTAATGCGCATTACCTGGATCGATTGCAAGGGAGGAACTCAACGCCGTTTCGGTGGCTTCCGGCGAGCGCACTCGGAGCAGGCCTGGATGTCCTTGGCGACGCCAGCCGTCATGCCATGCCAAAAATAGTATCGCTGTAACGTGAGCAAGGTTTTCTGCACGCCAAGATGTAACAACTTCTCGGCGTGCAGTACCCGAATCAATTCATAACGAAGTGGAACCACAAGGCGCCAACGGCCCAGCAAATCATCCCTCCACATTAGCAACCCGTCCCGGAGGGCCGCTCATGGAAAAGTGTCTGCAGATGAGTACACCTGCGGCTTACCCGCCTGACTTCGCAACGAAGTCAGTGATTCGTCCAACAGTTGCTCACGGACCCACACCGAACGC